TCGCTTGAATAGGTTAGGGAGCCTAGCACTGTAGAAATTGATGTTGATGAGTGGCCCGAAGAAGATGACACAATGGGCCCACGAGCTCAATGTGTGCCCTGACTCGGTGCTAAACCAGGCCATCTCGCAAGCTGTTTTTCCCAACCAACCTGTGCTGTTGGGTCCTCGTTTTGAAGAAACAGTCCCCGCGTTCCTCTCCTCTTCTCCTCCTCTTCCCCCTCCTCCCCCCTCCTCCCTCTTCCATGCGTTTCACTCACCCAATACAGCGCTTCGTGGCCCCATAGGGAGTTCCACCGAAGGTCCCAGTGGCACCGCCAGCGTGCGTCCGCCACTGCCCAGCACAGCCCTTGCTTCCCGCGTTTCATCCACCCAGTACAGCGCTTCGTGGCCCCATAAGGGGGCTCCACCGAAGGTCTCAGTGGCACCGCCCGCATGCGTCCGCCACCACCCATCACAGCCCTTGCTCCCTGCGTCTCACCCACCCAGTACAAAGTTTCGTGGCCCCACAAGGGGAGCTCCACCGAAGGTCCCAGTGGCACCGCCCGCATGCGTCCGCCACCACCCAGCACGGCCCTTGCTCCCTGCGTTTCACCCACCCAATACAGCGCTTCGTGGCCCAATATGGGGGCTCCACCGAATGGTCCCAGTGGCACCGCCCGCATGCGTCCGCCACCCCACCCAGCACAGCCTTTCCTCCCTGCGTTTCACCCACCCAATACAGCGCTTCGTGGCCCCATAGGGAGCTCCACCGAAGGTCCCAGTGGCACCGCCAGCGTGCGTCCGCCACCACCCAGCACAGCCTTTGCTCCCTGCGTTTCACACACCCAGTACAGCGTTTCGTGGCCCCATTAGGAGGCCCCACCGAAGGTCCCAGTGGCACCGCCAGCGTGCGTCCGCCACCACCCAGCACAGCCCTTGCCCCCTGCGTTTCACCCACCCGGTACATCGCTTCGTGGCCCCAGAAGGGGGCCCCACCGAAGGTCCCAGTGGCACCGCCCGCATGCGTCCGCCACCACCCATCACAGCCCTTGCTCCCTGCGTTCCGCCCACCCAGTACAGAGTTTCGTGGCCCCACAAGGGGAGCTCCACCGAAGGTCCCAGTGGCACCGCCCGCATGCGTCCGCCACCACCCAGCACGGCCCTTGCTCCCCGCGTTTCGCCCGGTACAGCGCTTCGTGGCCCCAGGAGCCCGGGGGCGGCTCCGACGGCGCCAACGCCGCCGGGACCAGCGGCCCGTGCCGGCCCACCACCACTGGGCTGGCCGCCGTGCTCGTCGCGTGCTTCGCCATCAGGGACTCCCCGTGGCAGGACTGCACCGCTACGAGCTCGTGGACGTCGAGGCCGCGCTGCTGCACCTGCTCCGCCAACTTCGCCCCACGCCCGAGGCAGCCCCGTCGCACGCCAGCAGCGCCTGAGGTAACAGCACACGGCGGAGCGTGCGGCGCCTTCGGCTCCCCCGTGCGGCACCCCGCTGAAGAGCGCACGGGGGACGGCCCGAGCCTCCCTCGGGCCCAGAGGGGCTAGGAGGAGGAGGAGGAGGAGGAGGAGGAGGAGGAGGAGGAGGAGGAGGGATGGAGGAGGAGGGATGGAGGAGAAGGAGGAGGAGGAGAGGAGGAGGAAGGAGGGGAGGGAGGCGGGAGGAAGGGAGGAGGAGGCGGGAGGAGGGAGAGAGGAGGAGGAGGAGTAGGAGGAGGAGGAGGAGGAGGGGAGGAGAGGAGGAGGAGGAGGAGGGGGAGGAGGAAGAGGAGGAGGAGGAGGAGGAGGAGGAGGAGAGCCCCTGACGTTGCCCCTGCTGCTCCTCCCCCCCCCAGCGGACGCGGCGGCCGGCTCAGACGTGGATCGGGGGGCCGCCTCTGGAGGAAGCCATGCCTGCGGCACGGGGGGGGGCAGGGAGGCCCAGGCAGGGGCGCTCCAGCCCCTCAAGGACTGACATAAGAAGATAGCAACTTCGATTCGTGCTTCCCCCGGCGAGAATGGAGTTCGGCCTCGCCGCCCCTCTTCCCCGACCAACTCTGTCTTGGCCGGAGAGAGTCAGCACTCAAATGTTGGGGGGGGTATGCTTTATTATCCGGGGCACGGGGTTAGGCAACTACACGTCGGCGGCGAGCCCAGGGGGGAAGTTGAAAAGGGGCCGGCCTTCTCGGAAGGCGCTGGGACTTCGCAGAAATCCCCGCGTCTTCCAAGTTTTTCTGTCTTCGGGGGAGGCTCCGAAACATTTCTCAGAAGGCCCGAGACCTGCCGAGCCGTCTGACAGGGCCCGCCCCCTCCCACTTCCCCCCCTGGGCTCGCCGCCGAACATGCGAACCCCACCCCTGCAGGCCGATGTCGGAAACGCTGGCTGGGGCTCAGAATGCGAAGGATGTCTGCAGCCAAGTGCACCCCAGCGGGGGTCCCAGACCCCCGACGTCATGATTTTTTCATGACGTCGACCCCCCGAGGTCTCGACCCATTCCCCGGGACCGGTTTTTCGTCCTGAGTCGTTTTTTGACGGTCCCGAGGGCTGGTAAGGGCCCCAAAGGCCAAAAATAGTGAAAATCCTCCCGTCGTGTTTTTTTCATAACTCGAGGGGGTCTGGGGTGTCCGATACCACGGCCTCGATGGAGCCGCAGGGCCTCCCAAGCGACGTGAGCTGACCACCTCACCCAGCCCGGCCAGTCCGACCCTGGGCCCAGGACCGGACTGTCCAGGCTGGGTGAAGTGGTCAGTTGATGTCGCCCGCTCCTCCTCCCCCGCCCCCTCCGCCTCCACCCCCTCCTCCGCCCCAGCTCCTCTCTCCCTCACTCTGGTAGCTTTGCCGCCGGACGGACGCACACATGGGCCCGGCTGCCTCGGGGCGGCAGCTCGGCAGCTCGGGCCTGCTGGAACGAAGGGCGACCCAGTTCCGCTCCTGCCCTCTGCAGCGCTTCGAAGACCAGCGGGGGAGGGATGGGGAGGGGAGGAGGACAAGGATGCTCGGCTCGAGTCACGTTGCCACGAAGCCCAGACTGCAGTGCACACGGAGAAGCCGGACCCCCCGCAGCCCAGGAGGAGGAGGAGGAGGAGGAGGAGGAGGAGGAGGAGGAGGAGGAGGAGGAGGAGGGGAGGAGGGGAAGAGGTAGGAGGAGGGAGAGGAGGAGGAGGAGGGGAGGAGGGAGGAGGAGGAGGAGGAGGAGGAGGAGGAGGCGGAGTAGGGGGAGGAGGAGGAGGAGGAGGAGGAGGAGGAGGAGGAGGAGGAGGAGGAGGCCCTGCACGCGCACAGCCGGCCCCGCGTGCGTGGGCGCCAGCGGCTGTGCCCCCAGCGCGCAGCACGGCCCAGCCCACGTGTTCGGCAGGCCACGGCGACCCTCCGAGGGCCTCCTGCGCCCCTCTTCGTCTTTGGATGGACAGCTACTGGGAACCAAAACCGACCCCATGTGTGCGACGCTGGGGCGAAGCGCGCCACGCGTGACAGGCGCGCCACGCCTGCCAGGCACCCCTGGGGCCCGAGCGTGCCAGGCACGCCGGGCGCGCCAGATGCGCCACGTGCTCCGCGTGCGCCAGGTGTGCCGCATACTCCAGCCGCGCCAGGTGCGCCACGTTCGGGGCAGGTGCAGAGTGTGTCAGGTGCGCCTGCGCACGTGACAGCACAACATCGAGAAACATGTCGGCCCCCACCATCTTGTCGAAAACCAATGCCCATCATTTTGTCTGGTGGGCCTGCAAACAGCAGGCCATACGCCACCACCCCCGCCGTCCCTGTCCAAAACCACTTGACAGTGATCGCGGGGTGGCCGCGCACTATCCAAGTGTAACCGCGAAGTGCATTTTGAATTTTTTGTTAGGGATGGTAGCCCTACGCACAGCAGGCAATATGCTGACACCCCCGCCTTCCCTGGCAAAAACAATACGAAGTGCTCGCGGGCCTCATGAACATGGCTCAAGATTTTGCCCCAAAGTGGACTGTGTAATTTTTTTTGACAGGGATGGTGGGGGTACCGCATCGGGTTGGCCGCGCATGCTCCAAATGTGGAGGCAGAGAGCGTTTGGAATTGTTCTTGTGACAAGGATGGTGGGGGGGGGAGCATGGTTCCTAGTTAGCCGCCGATCGCCTGGGGGAGGGGGTGTACTTTAACAGGGAACAGTGATAAACCCATCCCCGAAGGGGAAGAATGGGGGTTGGAAGAGAAAGCTCTCTAGACCACCTACGCCCAGAGGGCTGGTGGGACTCGCCTGGGCATCATTGCTGGATGGGCTGGTGGGGACACGCGAAGCTTTAAGAGTTGTTCTGGAGTCAGGGGCAATACAGTCGGGCTGCTGAAATGAGGAACGATAGCTACGAAACGGCGCCCCTTCTTGGCCCCGGGAGCGCCCGCGTGCACGAAGAGTTCCAGAGGAGCAGCCATGGTGGAACATCGAGCCCCTTCCGAACGCAAACCGTTCCTCGCCTCAGCGTCCTGGCCGTATCCGCCCACGGGGGCTAGACCAGGGAAGTATCGGGGCAAGGCGGGGGAGAAGCCGCTCGTAGACCGACAGGCCGGAACCGCCTGGGAGCAATAGAGAGTTCACCCACCTCCACGAAGGCGGGTGAGGAGTTGGCCTACAGTGAAAACGTGTATTAAGGACGGGTGGTAAGGACGCAAGACCCTTGGATGCCGAAATTATGATTTGTTTGGGCGGCGGGCGACAAATGGAAACGGCTAAGCACGGGCCGCAGCGGCAAGGACACAAGGGCACCCTAGATGAAGGCGCGCGTCCTTACTGGGCGCGTTGACTGTAACTCCGAATTGCCAACTTTATGGGCCATGCCCGCCAACAGGCCGCTCGGAAACATACATCCGGTACTGCAGAATTGACTCCAGAGAGAGGGGCAGCGCACAGCCCCTGCAAAGGAGAGACACGTTGTGCGCATGCTAGCGCAAGGGCTTCCATGACCGAAGCCTCGCCGTTCCCATACTTTTTTCCCGCGGCAGCCGACACGCCCCATCTCACTTGCCAGCCAAGTGAGCCACGACGTCGAACCAGCAGGCGGCACTGATATGCGCTCACGGCCGACTGAAGCCAGGGATCGGGGGCACTTTGGGGGTGAATCAGCAAAATGCACAGGTCTCCGCTCCTAGCGTGCTCTCTGGCCCTGGTGCCAAGTTTTTCGGGATCAGGCCGACACAAAACACATGTTTCAACATGGCCGCCCTCACACACGCACAAAACGCACCTTGTGGTCCCTACAATTGTTTGCCACCCATGCCCACGAATCTCCTCGCCAGCGTGTTCACGAATTGTTCTTCCGCAAGGCCCACTGACATGTCCGTCCACACTATGCCCTGTGCCTGGCCGCTGTCGCGCCCATTTGAAGAAAGACCGTTAAATAATGAAACAATATTGGCAGCCGGTGAGCACAATAGTGAGCGCAGTATCGCAATCCCAACTCATTTGCTACACCGACTCAAGGACACACACACACACATACATCAATGGCCACACGGTGGTTGTGGGAGCGCTAGCTGGCAATTCACGACCTCGAAACATCCAGTCTGAGCTCGGGACTCATCCCACCGAGCCCTTTCGGCGAAGGTGATCGATAGCTTCGTCTCCAGCCAGTTCTCCCCAGTCCCGTGGAGACCCTCACCCTACCCCATCCTTGGGTCCGAACTTCGGCGGCCCCGACGGCGTCAGGACCTCCATTTCGTGTTGGGCACTCCAGGACGGATGGTAAGCGAAACGCGTTCTTGAGGCAAGTATGCGGATAGCATTCGCATTCCAGCAGCATCCAAGATACCCCAAGAGGAGCGAAAACTTCCTAGACTCGACGGCGCGCAGGGTCCCCAAAAACGCATCGGATGCCCCCGCGGAATCCCCAAGAGGCCCGCAAGACACCTCCAAGACGCCTCAAGGAGGCCTGGACGGACGACGGACCGCCCCAAGGCGTTCCCCGAAGAAGGCGCCCTGGACGGCCGAGGACGCAACCCTGCCCTCACCCTGACTCTGGCCCGCCGTATACTTTGGTTGATCTTCCGACTTCCAATTTTGTCGGAAATGCACCCCAAACTATAAGAAAAAAAAGGGCGGGAATTCCCGCCTCAGAAGAATAGACCGGATCTTTCCACAAAGGTATTCCAGAAACAGCGACGGCACAGTAGGGCGGAAATCGGTATCGAAGGAGCTGGAGAAGAGGGGGGGATGTCCGCCCTGCCCACGAGATCGGCCAGAGTGCGGGCGGACCCCGAGTCAAGGCAGGCCCGCCCCCCTGCTTGCCCAGCAGGCGTTCCGTCTGCCAAACCCTGTCCTCAGCACTCTGCCTAAGCGGTGCGCTGCTCTGGAGGCGCGACTGCTGTCCTTAAAACAAGTCTAGGATCGGGACAAATCGCTCCAGAGCGTTCCGGAGCGCTCTCAGAGCGTTCCGGAACGCTCTGGAGCGGCCGCGGCGCCCAATACATCCTCCAAACCCGCCGATCCTCAGAGATTTCGAGTTATCCCGATCCGATTTTGTCCCGATCTTCGCGTCGTTTGAGTGCTACTGCCCTGCCCGGGCAGGCTGGGGCGCTGCCGAGGCAGCGCCCGGCGCCCGGCAGGCGTGCTGGCCCCCCTCCGGCGGGCCGTGCGGGAGCCGGCGGTGCACGACCACCGCGCCCGGGGACACGGCCCGCGGCGGGGGGCTGCCGAGCCGGTGCCGCGCGGATATCGGCGGTGGATAAACCTCCCTTTAGTGGACCTCCCCTTAGTGAAAACGGCTTGGGACCGAAACCGACGGACCTGGACCCGCAAAAATGACGGCCGCGACGCCCTCTCGCGAACCGAGAACGGCCAATTCCTCAATCGACGTGTCAGGGTAGGAGGTCTGTCCACCCCCGAGGATAGGGGCGGGCCCGCGGCGATGAGCTGGCTGGCGTCAGGAGGCAACTGCTGGGAGATCTTCGCGAGGACCATGAAGGATGCGGAACCCGAGTAGTAGGGGGCCATGTTGCTGGATCAGCCCCCCCGGATTCAGCCGGATGCATCGGGATGGGCGATCGAGCTGGATAAACCGGAACGGCGCTGCATTATGAATGGGACTGTGCGGGGTTAGGCCGGCTTTCGACCAAGTATATGCCAGCGCCGATGCTGAATCCGACCTCCCAAGAGTTGCATCCTAGCTGGTGGTCACGCCCCAGTGTGCCGGCCGCTGCTGAGCAGTGGCTGGCATGCTCACGCCAAGCACCAAGCCCGCCGCACCAGTGCTGGCCGCGGGCGCTACACGCTGCAGCGGCTGCTGCTGCTGCCACGCCAGCGCCCGTACGCCTCGCGCTGCGGCTCGGGTGCCGCACTGTGCCGGCGGCTGACTCCCAGGTGCAAGCGCGCCTTCTACAGTCGGGGCGTTGACCTGAGGAACCCTAAATAAGGAACGAGGCCCCTGTTTCCCATAAGTTCAACCTCGATTTCCCATGGAAAACCTCAGGAAAACCCGATACAAACTTTGAAAATTTCAGGGAACACCGAGCCCCTCCCCAATGAAAAGGGTTCCTTCTTCAGCGCCCCGACTGTATGTGGCAACTCGTGGGAGCCTCCCATGTCATCCTGCTGGCTCCTGCGGATCGACGCTGACCGACGCCAGTCGACGCTAGTCGACGCCAATCGACGCTAAATCCACGCTACAGCAGCGCTTCCTCGTCGAATGCCAGACGCTAGCAACCGCTAGTGCACTCTAGAGGCGGCGTTGCGAAAACAGACAAGGCTCCCATGAGTTGCTACCGAAGCCTTCTGCGGCGGCGTTGCTCAGCTGGCCGACGTTCCCAGAGCCAGCGTCAGCTTGGGCAGCGCAATCCGGCGACGACTCTGACACCATCGGAGGGGTGGCGGCGTCCAAATCGTGCCGCAACTCGGTGATGCCCTCGTTAAGCTCGGAGCAGGCCTGCCGCAGTGCGGCGCACTGATCGCTGGCGTCCATCTCCCGAGCGAAGGTGACAGCTTTGCCTGGGCTCTTGCATCGAATCGACAAGTCGCATCAATCCCTACCAGCACTCTGCTCGTCCCCCCATGGGCTGTTCTCATGATCCTGCTATTCCCTCTCTTCATCTAGCCTCGCGTTCGCATTGGGTGTTCACGAATGCATCGTAAACGTGGCGCGCGGGCATGCCAACAGTAAGGCCAACAAACAATTCGACGTATCAGCATCCGACTTACCAATTTAGGCATCAAGCTCGGAGATGAGACCTCCGCCTCCACCCCCCTGTCTATCTGACGCCCTTTTCGGCATCCAGACGGCTACCGAAAGACCACAAACCGACCCACGACGCATGCAATCTGCCTTGGGACCAGCTTACAACGGCTCAATGACCCCCTGGAAGCTTCAAGGTGTCCCTCCCTACAGAACCAAGCACCAAGAAACCAACAGAAATCGGCGGCGCGCCGAGGGGGGAAACGAAAGGGAGTAAGCCTTCCCAGGCCGCGGGGCTTCTCAGGAGCCCCGCGGCCTGCTGAGAGCTGCCCCGTGCCTTCGGGGCAGGCTCCGAGAATTTCTCGGCAGGCTCGAGGCCCTCCGAGCCTTCCTCAGAAGGCCCGCCCCTTCTCGCTCCTCCTCCTCCTCCTCCTCCATCTCCTCCTCCTCCTCCTCCCCCTCCTCCTCCTCCCCCTCCTCCTCCTCTCCTCCTCCTCCTCTCCTCTCCTCCTCTCCTCCCTCCTCCTCTCCTCCTCCTCCTCCTCCTCCTCCTCCTCCTCCTCCTCCTCCTCCTCCCTCCTCCTCCTCTCCTCCTCTCCTCCTCCTCTCCTCCTCCTCCCTCCTCCTCCTCCTCCTCCTCCCTCCTCCTCCTCTCCCTCCTCTCCTCCTCTCCTCCTCTCCTCCTCCCTCCTCCTCCCCCTCCCTCCTCCTCCTCCTACTCCCTCCTCCTCCTCCTCCTCCTCCTCTCCTCCCCTCCTCCTCCTCCTCCCCCTCCTCCTCGCTCCTCCTCCTCCCCACCCTGGGTGCGCCGACGACGTCTTCCTCGCTCGACCTCGGGCCCGCCGCCTGGAGCACGCCTGCCCGGCGCGGCCCCCCCCACGGCCCGGGCACGACCTGCAGCGCCGAGAGCGAAAAAGCGCAGAAGCACAAAACCTGTGTGTTTCCTTCCCTCCTGGGGGACCCGCCGCCGCACGGCGGAGGGTGCCGCCCCAGCGGCGGCCATATGGGATTGCCCGAGGGGGCCTCCCGCGGCGGGCCCCGACCGCGCCCCGAAGGAGGGCCCCGGCAGGAGGCCCCCCGCGAGGCCTCTCTCTCTCTCTCGGGGGGGCGGAGGAGGGCCCGGCGGACGCGTCGCGCCCGAGGGGTGGGCCCGACGGGACCCCGACGGGCCCCCCGCCCAGAGATCCAACGCATTGAAAAAATCAAGACGGACGTTTTTCGCAATTTTCGGCCTTTGGGGGCCCTCGCCGGGCCCCGGGACCGTCAAAAAACGACTCGGGATGAAAAACCGGACCTGGGGAAAGGGGCGAGACTTCCAGGGACCCCGTATTGAAAAAATCACGACGTCGGAGGTCTGGGCGTAGCAGTGGACTCCAGGAAGAATGCGTGGAGGAATGAGGACACAGGCTACACAGAATCTGGGTGGACCGTTTCTTGCATCGGCGGCCAGGCAGGGGTCGTCTGCGCTGGCAGAAGGAGCTGACCAAACGGGGGCACCGCTGCAGCGAATTGGCCAGCATGCAGGGGTAGCCACAGCAGCGGGCGGCCGCAGGGAGGGGGAAAACGACCGCCAGCGGGGACTGAGGATACAGGATACACACAGGGGAACAATGAATGATACGAGCATGAACTTTCGGAGGTCCGCGCGGACTTCTACCCTAGGATCGGCGCTGGGGCCCCCTGGCGGCGCGCCAGAGAAGGATGGTCCAGCGCCGATCCGAGAAATCAGCGCGGACCTCCGACAGTTTCTGTTCATGACGTGGTTTTTGCTCCCCGAACACAGCCCAAAGAAGTACGCACGAGCGACGAAAAGAAACGGGCCTTCGGCCAGACATGGCGGCTTCACGCCGCGGCTTGCGCGGGCCGCCAGCGTGGCACACCACGTGGGGAAGAGGGCGCTTGCGCGCCAGCTTACTCGGGAAGCTTACGCGCGAATGTCGGCCTCGTTTTCTTCCGTCGCTCACACGAGCAAGTCTCGAGCAGTGCCCTGGATCCGAGCGGCCCTGACGGACGCGCAGCGGTCGCGATCGTGGGCACGTGGCAGAAAATTGCCCAGACAGTGTTTAGCCCTTGGGATCTCATCGTGCGGCATACAACAAAAACAAATCACCAAGGAAAATCTCATCACGCGTAGGCCTCTCTTTGGAGAGAGGCTGGGACGGGCATAGCGAGAGACGATGCGGCGGATGTCATCACCCCGCGTGCGGTCTGACAGATACGACACCGACTCGTGGGACCAAGAAACCACCTGGCAGGCAGCCACGCATCGAAGAGTGTTTTGAGGATCGCCACCTGGGCAGTCGGTGAGGCGGAGACGCCAGAAAGAAGAGAAGCAGAGGCGAAGACGCCAGACAGAAGAAAATCTTGAACGAATCGGACTTCCTGGGGGGGTCTACTCGGTTCGGGGTGCTGCAGGCGGGCATGGAGCAAGGGTAGGTAGGGAGGACGGGTCCTGCATCTGCCGAAGCAACCACGGGATGGACGACACGCCAACCCCAGGTGCCCGAGAGAAGAATGAGGAGGATGAGGAGGAGGAAACGAGCGGAATAAGAACAAGAAAAAGAAGGTGGATGAGGGAAGGAGTGAAGGAAAAGGTGGAGAGTGAGGGCGAACAGGAAAGGGAAGGATGGGAGGAGCATGAGCAGTTTGTTACCACTCCAGTTCAGAGCATGGTCTACGTAAGCTGGCGCGTAAATTACACCCCACCTCATACCCATACTAATCCAAACTCCCATCTGCAAGAGACTGAATGAGGTAAAGTGTAAGATCTGCACCACTCCAGCGCCCGAACTGACGCAGGTCGTGAACTCGACCCCGTCCTCGTTCTCACCTGAATCCTCATCCCCAAGACACTCCTCCTCACCATCTGCATCGTCCTCCTCGTCATCATTCTGCCCCCGCAGCAAATTTCAATCGTTCCATCATCCCAATTCCTCCCCCAATCATCCTCCCCGCTCTTCGAGGAGGGAGAGAGAGAGGAAGAGAGAGTGGGAGGGAGAGGAGGACGAGCAGGAGGAGCGGGAGGGGGAGGGGGAGGAGGAAGAGGATGAGGAGGAGGAGGAGGATGAGGAGGAGGAAGAGGAGAAGGAGGAGGAGGAGAAGGAAGAGGAGAAGGAGAAGGGTAAGGAGAATGAGGAGGAGGAGGAGGAGGAGGAGGAGGAGGAGGATAGTGAGAAGCGGAACGAGGGCGCGAAGGGGAAACGAGTAGCCAGAGCTGAAAACCCACGTCGCTTCGGCGCCCAGTCTGATCTGGTGCGGGCCGGAAGTTCACCTCGGCCACTACCATCCTCCCAGGGGGGCGGGAACGAGGAGAGATGGAAGGGAAGGCAAGGAGAAGGATGAAGAAGAGGAAGGGGGGAGGAGGGAAAGGCGAGCGCACGAAGGGCGCCCGTTGCTCTGGAGGGTCAGGCCCGCCCACGCGCGCCGCGGGGCGACCGGTACCCCAGCGCAGGCGAGCGCCGAAGAAGTGCGCAAAAAAAAAACAAAAAAAAAAAAAAAAAAAACACAAAAAAAACAAAAAAAAAAAACAAAAAAAAAAAAACAAAAAAAAAAAAAGGATTGCAAAAAAAAAACCTGGGACACACAACCTAATAGACACAAATAACCGGATTCCCAATATTGTCCCAGATTTTCTGGGTTTTCGTCTTCCCCCCCACTTCCCCTATTTCCCCATACCTTCTCGGGAGTCGCCGATTGATTGTGTCTGTGTGCTTCTTCCCCTCCTGACTGAAGGACGCCGCCTCCGCGCCTCCCGCGGCGGCTTCCGCCCTGTCCCTGCCGGCGGGTGCCGGCTGTGCGCTGGGAGCGCGCTGGGAGCGCGCTGGCGCTGGGCCCCCGCCGCGCCGGCCGGGGAGCGCACGCCGGGCGCGCGCGGGGAGAGCGGCGGGGCCTGGGACGCGCCGGGCCGCGGCGCGGGCCAAGGCCGCGGGCCGCCGCTGGAGGCGGCTGGGCCAGGCCAGGCTGGCGGCGGAGCAGGTGGCAGGCGTGTGTGGCAACGCAGCCGACTGCGCAACCGCCCGGGGGAGCTCGTTCTCGCCCGGCGGCTCGTCGTCGTGATGCGCTGCTGCGCCAGGGCCAGGGCGGCGCAGGGGGCACTCTGTTGGTCGGCGGGGCGAGAGCGAAGCTCTTCCGCTAAGGGCTACGCGGGCCACGCACAGCTTTCATTTAGGGAGGCAGGGCGCAGGCAGGCGGGGCCTCAGGCGGCCGGGGTGGGCGGGGCCCGGGGTGCAGGCGGTGCCGAAGAGCTTGCTCAGGCGAAGGTACGCCGTGGACAAGGACCGGGTGCAGGGGGCACACGTGCGCGATGGAACGCGTGGCCTCGCTGACACGCCACCGCGCTATGCGGCAGCCGGGCGAGCAGTGGGAGATCTCGTTCGGAGTGTCCTGCGCACCCCCATCTGTCTCGCAGCCGGGGGGACCGACCTGCATGTGGTCTCCCCGTCGCTCGGACGTCCATTCCCTGTGCCTTGTTCGGTTTCGTGCGTGGTTTTTTCGCAGGATGATCCAGGATGCTCCTTAATAATCCCCGCCGAGAAAGAGTGCACACGTCCGAGCGATACCACATGGTTCGACGTCGGCCATGCTCCCGCTAGCGTCCGTTATGCGGCCCAGCACGTGCCAGGAGCCGTGCAGGCCAGCTGGCGTCGGAGCACCGCCCAGTAAAACGACGCGAAGATCGGGACAAAATCGGATCGCGATAACTCGAAATCCCTGAGAATCGGCGGGCTTGGAGGATGTATTGGGCGCCGCGGCCGCTCCAGAGCGTTCCGGAACGCCCTGAGAGCGCTCCGGAACTCTCGGGGGCGATTTATCCCGATCCTAGCCCCGTTTTACCCAGCGCTGCTGCAAATTGCTCGGCATGGGAGGAGGAGGAGGAGGAGGAGGAGGAGGAGGAGGAGGAGGAGGAGGAGGAGGAGGAGGAGGAGGAGGAAGAGGGGGAGGAGGAGGAGGAGGGGGAGGAGGGGGAGGAGGAGGAGGAGGAGGAGGAGGAGGAGGAGGAGGAGGAGGAGGAGGAGGAGGAGGAGGAGGAGGGCGCTGGGGCCACCGCGCGCGCGCAGCCTAAGGCGAGGGCCTTGTGGAGCGCCTCGGGGCGCAGACGCTGGGAGGCCACGCTCACTATCGCTCGGACGTCCATTCCCTGTGCTTTTTTCAGTTTCGTGCGTGGCTTTTTCGCCAAATGATCCAGGATGCTCCTCGATGGTCCTCGCCGAAGGAAAAATGCACACGTCCGAGCGATGCCGAGTACGCGCGCGTGGGTGCGCTGCCCGCGAGCGCGGCGCCCCGCAGCGTAGCGGACCTGCGGGCTGCATCCTCCGCCGCGGCACTGCCTGCAGGCAGGGCATGCCGGCGTCGCTGGCAGAGCTGCTTGCCAGGTGCGCCAACCACAATCGGGTCGGGCGAAAGGGGGGGATAGTAAAGGGGGGGTTTGAGAATCAGCTCACGTAGCTGATTTTCCCGGCGCCTCCCGGAGCCGGAGGCGCCCATGTATCGAGGAATGGGCCCCTCGGCGGGGCCGAAACCAGCTGCATGCAGCAAATTTCGTAACCCCCCCTTTCCCAATCCCCCCCTTTCGCCCGGCCCGACACAACCTCGGATACCGAAAGCATATGTTAGGCCATCGATTGTGGCCGCGTCCAGAGGAGCGGCCCAACGCCCTTCCAGGACGGTGCGGGCTGAGAGCATTTTGTAAGCGCGCTCCTGCCATTCCGCCGCGAAGTCGCGCAACCCTTTGAGGGTGACCTCGGCCGTCCCGGCCGTCCCCAAAGCAGCGGCCCAGGCTGCAGGCAGCAGCGCCTTCAGCGCGGGCCCGGGCGCCCACTCCCCAACGCTCAGCAGGTCGTTCAAAGCAAATGTTTTGAGGGGCGCCTTCAGGATGCGGTGCAGCGTGTCTAGCTCGCCTTTGACGAGGTCCTCTGGCAGGGGCAGCAGCGGGGCCAGGTAGGTCAGAACAGAGACAACGGAGCCATTGTACACGGTGATCAGTTCTGCCGTTGGCACAAGCACGGTCTGAAGCACGGCCGTGCACTGCTTGTACTTCGTTGGGGCAGAGTGCCATGAATCCATTAGGGCTGACCCTGGACCCCCCAAGAGCAACACAGCATGCAACTTGGAATCTTCGAGGGCGCTCCGATGCGCGAAAAATGCACCGCGAACATCACGCGAAGAACCTGCGCGACGGAACGCGCTCGACCATGCGTCCCTGAAGCCCGTGCGGAAGAACAGGAAAACCTGGAAATGTGGAAAACTATCAATATCAATACGTCATGCTCCTCTGAAATACGAACCCGAGATACTTGACTTTGGAGGCTACGTCGAGATCGGACCAGCCAGGGGGCGCTTTCTCTGAGAGCCGAGCGGATGGCGCCGGGGGTGGCTGGCAGGCCAGCGGCGGCCAGCCACAGCGGCACCAGGACGCACCTCCACGGCTGCAGGTGCAGGCATGCGAGGCGCCCCACGGCCCGGAAGTGGGGCTCGATCGAGGCGAGGAGGCAAATGCCCCACAGGCCGATGCCCAAGCCGTCGGCGCAGACGCCGAGCTCAGCGTCCCAGCCAGGGCCGACGAGCCGCGCGTCGCCGGGTGGGCGGCCGGCCAGCGGGCGCGAAGGCAGCGCGAGAGCGCCGGCCAGCGCCTCCACAGATGGCGCCGCGGCGGTGGCCCGCAGGGTGCCTGAGAGAGGGCGGCCTGGGGCAACGCCCGTGAGCAAGAGGCACACGCAGCAGGACCGCGGCCCCGTCCTCGCCTGGCGGCGCTGCCCGTCGCGCCGCGCCCGCATCGACCGGACGTGCGAGCGCGGGACGCCGGCCGGACTGGCAGAGCACCGCAGAGAGTCAATCCCGTGCCAGGCGGGGAGAAGCCGCGGCCCCGTCGGAGGAGGCGAGGCACGGGCGGCGGCGAGCGAGGGCCTCCGTGGCGTCGAGCGCGGCGGCCCTCGCCGCCACGCGTCCTCCAGGGAAGCTCCGCCCCGTGGCGGGGCCGGGCCGCGGGCTCTCGGGGCGTGCCTCTCCGCGGCTGCCGAGGGGGTACTGGCTGGCCGCCGCCGCCGCCATCAGCTTCGCGTCGGAGCTTTCGAGTGCAAGTGGGCGGGCCTCCGCAGGTTCCCGCGCCCCCCCAGTTGTTTCCTCCCTTCTTCGAAGGCCTAAACAGCAGGTTCTCAGAGCCTGGCTTGACATCTTCTGGCAATCTTGGTGTGCACGAAGGAGTCCCAGAATACGAGCAGACACAGTGTCTCTGTGCATTCAAGAGGTACGCGTGGTGTTTTCGCAATCAGGAGGTACGCACTAATACGGATATGCTTGGCAAGCGACTCACCATCCCCCCCCTGCCGTCGGCGGGGTGCCTTCCCCTCTGCGCAGGTGCGAGCTGGAGCCGCGAGTCGTTGGGGCCTCCCAGAGGGCACGCCCCGCCCATGATGGCGAGCATGGCTGCGTGCAGGCGCTGAGGCGAGCGTAAGAAGAGGAGGATGAGGAGGGAGGGAAGGGAGGCAGACGGCGAGGACAACGAGGCCGAAGACAGGGATGGGGTGTTTCACACCCGCTCCAGTGCAGCCAGGGCGCTGGTCCCAAGCGAGTCGTAAACTTCTCCTCCTCCTCCTCCTCCTCCTCCTCCTCCTCCTCCTCCTCCTCCTCCTCCCTGCAGCGCTGGCATGGTGGCGGGGGTTGCTGCAGGCAGCCGGACCATCGGGGAGAGCATCTGGAGCAGCTCGGGCCCCCCTCCCAGGAGACGCCATGGAGGGTCTCAAACACAAGCTCCGCGCTGCCTGCAATGCTGTCGGGGATCTTGTGACCCGGGTCAATCCACACCCGGGTCGGTGAGGCCTTGCAGGATCCTGCGAGATCCTGCCGGATCCTGCACCCAAGCCCGGGACTCTGGCTCCACAGGATCCTGCAAGACACGGCCCTCTGACTGACCCCCGTGTGCATTGGCCCCCGTCTCGTGCGCCCCGCTGCTGAAAACTGCCTCCTGGCCCCGGCTTTGGCCGCCGATCGCCCCTGTGCCCGAGCGCGTTCTGCACGGGCGAGTCGCCCCGAGCGCCCGACGAGGCATCCGCGTCGTTCAGCCGCCGCACGGCGCTCAAGGCCGCGCCCTTGACGGCACGCTCCGCACGGACCGCCGCCTCCTCCTCCGAGCTCCTGCAGGGAACGGGGCGAGCGCTTTGCGCAGGGGGGGGGGCCGACTGCGTCAGAGGCAGCGAAGGCGGCAGGGACACAAACCTTCGGATCTCTGAGCGGACTTTATGGATCGGCTTCTGCTTGGCGCGCCGAGCGCGCCAGGGGCGCCCCCGCGGGGGTGCAGAGCAACGCCGATCCAAAAAATCGACTGCGCCGTGTTTTCCTCCCCCGCTCTTCCTCTGAGCATGGTCAAGAACTCATGACGCCGGGGGTCTGGGCTTCGACGGCGCGCACAAAAGGGGTTAGGGGGAGTAGTGAAGGCTTCTTAGAAGTAGGCTGCTCTTTAGAAGGCGCCAGCCTTATGTCTATAGATACGGCCCGCGCCTCCTCAGAAGTAAGAGCGCTTCCAAGAAAGAAGCCCTCCCCCCTCCCCCTCTGCCACGCACAGAAGGATGCCCTCTGCGCGTGGCTGCCGTGGCTGAGGGTTGGGCCAGCGACGCAACTCACGACGCGGATCTCCCTTTGGTAACCTCCGGCCAACCCCCTTCCGCTCCTGACTGCCGCGTCCAGCCTCTGGCTCAGGCCCGCCAGCTCCGAGCCCAGCGAGCGCACCCGCGCCTCGGAGGTCGCCCTCGCACACCCCCTCCTGCAACTCCTCCTCCTCCTCCTCCTCCTCCTCCTCCTGCTGCTGCTGCTCCTCCTCCTCCTCCAGCGCCAGCAGCTCAGACACTTTTTTGAGGCTTGGCGCACAGCAGCACAGCATGACAGCATGAGAGCCTTGATAGCCGCGAGCCACGGCGACGCCTGCGGCGCGGGCGGCGGCGGCCTCGCCTGACGGCGGGCTGCCGCCCCGCCGGGGGCGGCTGCTGGGCGCGGCGGGCTGGACGTGATCCTGAAACGAGCATCCTACAATCCCCTCTCCCTGCTAGGGGGCCACATGCGAACCCTACCCCTACCCCCCACGATTTCTGAGGGGGAGGGTGGGGTTCACTTCGTCTGGGAGCTCCCGAGCGAGGTGAACCCCCTCCCCCTCAGAAATCGTGGGGGGTAGGGGTAGGGTTCGCAGGTGGCCCCCTCCCTGCGGCAGGAGCGGAGGGCGGCTGATGGGGGCGGCACCCCCAGGTGGTCTTGTGCGGGAGGTGCAGGCGCGGCTGGGGCGCTGAGGCGGCCAGCGGCGGGAGGTGGCATCCACGTTCCAGGTGAGCTGTCCGACGCGCTGTCGACGGAACGCCGGCTAAGTATCCAGGGTGAGCTGCCGTCTCGGGTTCATATTCATCGTGATCGGCCCGATATGAGGCCGCCTCCGAATCCCGCCCCCGCGCGCAGGTGTGGCCCACACGCTCCGCATCAGTCACACCGCCTCGGAACCGTGGCTGCGCCTGCTCCGTGGCCCTCAGCGCCCTCCTCCTCCTCCTCCTCCTCCTCCTCCTCCTCGCTCCTCCTCTTCTTGGCCTTGTTGACATGTTCCGGACCATACCTTTCTGGGCCCTCCCCGCCTCGCCTGTCTTCTCCCTGACCGTGCTCGCATCCGAATCCCCAGGAGGCCGCCGCCTTCCCTCTCGGGCGGGCGGTTGCGACCAGCCCCTCTGCCGAAGGCGGGGACGGCTCGTTCTTCCGCTCTGCTTGCGGCGCCTGCACGACCGTCGTCGGTGGGCAGCGGGCGTTCGTTGCCCGAGTGCGCGTCGGGCCTCGACGAGCGGCGCGCTCAGCCGCCGCCACAGCGCCGTGGGCTTGTCAGGAGCTCAACGGGTTCGACTTGCGGACCCCATGCTGCCGTGCCGCGCCGCGCCGCGCCGCGCCGCGCCGCGCCGCGCCGCGCCGCGCCGCGCCGTGCCGTGCCGTGCCGTGCCGTGCCGTGCCGTGCCGTGCCTCCGCCTCCTCCTCCTCCTCCTCCTCCTCCTCCTCCTCCTCCTCCTCCATTCCTTTCCTTATGAATAACTCCTCCCTGTCGCACCCCGAGGCCGCTCGAAAGGGCGGGCCGGGAGTTTCGCCTGAGACTTCCTCGCCACTTATGATCCTGAAGCTAGAGGTTTGCAAGAGCTTCGCGGATGGAGGGTGGGCCGTTTTCAAAATGTGGCTCTCGCCTTAGCGCCGCACACATTCGTCCTAAGCAGCGTGCAAGAAATTCACGAATTGAGGGCGGGCCGCTTTCAAAATGTGGCTCTCGCCTTAGCGCTGCGCGCATTCGTTTTAAACATTTGCAAGAGAGGGCTTTCTCAAAATGTGGCTCCCGCCTTAGCGCCGTGCACATTAGTTTTGAGAGTTCGCAGCAGTGTCGCGGACTCTGATGGCTAGCATTCGAAATACGGTGCTTAGGCGCGATGTCGGACTGTCAGGACGCCACAGTTACGTTGAATCGTGGTGCTGAAGTCGCAGCAATGGTATTCTGGCACGATTCAGGATCGTCAAGACGCAACAGTCGCGGTGATTCGCGGCGTTGGGGTCCCAGGAGTGGCGTTCTGGCACAATTCTGGATTTTCAAACGGTTGTCTTCCAACTGGGTACTCCACTCAGTGAAACTGAATCCTTGTAGGTGCCTCAGAGCGGGCAACTTGGAGGGAGGGTTTGTTGCAATGTCGCTGCTGGGCCTTGGGTTTACACTGGTCCTCCTCCTCCTCCTCCTCCTCCTCCTCCTCCTCCTCCTCCTCCTCCTCCTCTTCCTTCCCTCCCTCCCTCCCTCCCTCCCTCTGGCCACGAGAACCTTGCGCGGATCCAGAAAGGTTTGCACACCAATTGGCGGGTCTCGGTGGCGGCCGCAGCCTGCGACGAGGGCAGGGTGAGACGTGGGGAGGCCCTCTGCCACATCCCTGTCGAGCTCCGGTGGTTTCCCAGGTAGGCCCCCACCAGACTGCGGGCGTCAGGAAACTCAAAGGAAACTCCTCCTCCATCCTTCCCTCCCTCCCTCCCTCCCTCCCACCCTCCCACCCTCCCTCCTCTCCCCTCCCCTGTTCTCCCTTCCTCTCCCCTCCCTCCCCCTCCCCTCCCCAACCCCTTCCCTCCCTCCCTCCCTCGGTGGCGGAGCGCAGTCATCGCGCTGGCCGGGGCCTATATCCAGGCCCTCTCTTCCTTCCTCCCTCCCCCTCCTCGTCCTCGCCCTCGTCCTCCTCATCCTCCTCGTCCTGCCCATCCCTCCTCATCTCTTGGCTACTGGAGAGGCTGCTCAGCTGGTTCCTGGCCCCCTGGCCACAAGGGGGTGGCCAAACAACAATACCGAAAGATACAGCGGACATCCGCTGCCTCGTCTGACGCCACTTCGCAAACTGGGGGGGGCGCACGGAGGGAGCAGAGGAGTAAGAGGAGGATGAGGAGGAAGAGGAGGAGGAGGAAGAGGAGGAGGAAGAAGAAGGAGAAGGAAGAGGAGCAGGAGGAGGAGGAGGAGGAGGCAGGATGGCTGCAGCAGCAACAGGAGGTAGGCCCCCAAGTTGACTTGGGGAGGACACGCGAGTAAGGGCTGCTCCCCCTCGCCGAGGCTCTCGCTCCTCATTGTCCTGGTGTTGGTCATGAGTCTCACGCTCGCTCCTTCGTTCCCTCTTTCGAACGAGGCCTGGTGCCTGCCGGGACGACAGCTTGCCCTGCGTAGGAAGTCACCCCGCCAGCGTTCCCGAGAGCACGCGAGGGTGCCGACCGTTGAGCAGCTGACAGCGCCCAGGAGGGGGACAAATGCTTCGGATCCGCGCAGGACGTCGACTCGCTGGACCTCCCAGCTGCCCACAAGCGTGCCAAGAACTGCGCAGCTGGCAGCGCCCAGGGAAGGCGGCAATCTTTTGGATATGGTCAGGACGTCTCTGCGCTGTGTCCCCCAGGAGCTCACGAAAGACGTGCCGACAGCTGCGCAGCTAGCGGCGCCCGGGGAGGGGAGTGGTGGCATGCATCTGCGTAGAGCGTCACTCCGGCAAAATCGACCTCCCAGGAGCGCACGAAGGAGCCGACAGTTGCGCAGCTGGCAGCGCCCCGGGAGGGTAATCATAGCGAGGAGCTGGTAGGGCGTCACTTCGCTGGATCTCCCAAGGGCCCACGCACGTGCCGACAATTGTGCTGCTGGCAGAGCCGAGGGGGAGGAGCAGCGCGTTCAAGCTGCATAGGACGCCACTCTGCTGGACCTCCCAGGAGCTCACGAAAGCGCGAAAGTGCCGTCAGCTGTGCAGCTGGCAGCGCAAGGGGAGTAACAGTTTGGATCTGCGCAGGGTGCCACTTCATTGGTCCTCCCAGGAGCTCGCGAAAGTGTCGACAGCTGCGCAGTGCTGCGCAGCGGGCAGCGCCCAGGGAGGGGAGTGATAGTTGAGAGCTGCACAGGACGTCACTCAACTGGACCTCCCAGGAGCTCACGAACATGCCGCCAATTGCACAGTTAGCACTGCCCCGGGAGTGGAGTACTTGCTCTTGTCTGCGTGCAACGTCACTCCGCTGCACCTGCCAGGGGCTCACGCAAGACCCGAACGTTGCGAACTTGACAGCTCCCACGGGGAGTGGGCCGGGGTGGAGGATATTGTGGATCTGCGTGAGATGACACCTCGCTGTTCTTCTCGGAAGCACACGAGGGTGCCGACATCTTTTGGTCACGCTCTCAATGTGCAGTAGTTGTTTGTTGCCCAGTGCTCACTTGGAACATGTGTGGGATGTCTGCGAATGGTATATCGCGCAAGGACGATATTGTCGAACCTGTGGCTGCGTTGCGTCCCAATGTTGGCGTACGTGGAGCCGCTGGGGTACTGCCAACGATACCCAAATGCTGGGGCACGGCCACCGATACCCAAGTCAAGACGCTTCAGCACAAAGCGGCCAAGCTAACGGAAACACTGGGCTCGGCAGGCATGATGTCTGTATCCCACTGCTGCTCCACTTGGGTCACGAACATACTATGAGTGATGGGACGCGGAAGGGAAAGGATAGCAAAGATAAGCGGGTACAAAAGGACAACGCCAAACATGATGTCTGCACGGCGCATCCTGCTGGCACAGAGGAGCCACGCCAGCCGGCCGAACAACGGGGGAGGCGAGAGACGGGAGCGAGGGGGCGGAGCGCCGAAGGCGAGGAACCCTGCTGCGAGAAGCGTGGGGCGGCAGCCCCACCCCGCGGCCTCCGCCTGACAGCAGAAAAAAAGCGTCGGCGCACGAGGGCGGGCAGGGTGCAGCGGAGCGGGTGCCACAAGACTCCACATCGAGGAAGTTGCGGGCCGGAGCTCGCGCCCACGGCGCCCACACTCAGAGGCAGCGCCGTGGGTCTTCAGTCCACCACCGGAGAATCTGCCTCGAGCCAGCAGGCGTGCATTCTCGAATCTTTGCAGCACGTCGACACGCAGAAATGAACCTGCTGTAAACCTGGGTCGGCTCAAGATAAGACATCGTGGCCTGGGGCATATTTAAGCAATTGCTCACCTTCAAATGCGCTTCCCCCCGTCATTACGAAGGCACGAGGGACTGACACTCCTTATCCCCCAGAGAAGAAGGGCCTGCTCAGCCTACCTGTGGGACAATGCACCTCAACTGGCACAACGAGAGATTTGGCACACATCTTGCGCGCCCCCGACTCAACGATGGGCCGTCTCGGGCAGAGTGCAGCCCCATGGGGTGCTGAAGGCAAAAACATATCCGAAGGGCTCTTGGGAAAATCAAGCGGTGCCGACACCGCTACTCCCCGGACATCTCTCTGGGTGCACTCTGAACAGAATGCCGAGGCGAATCCAGCGGTGGCGACGAGGGCCTCCCAGAAGGCCCAGAAAGGAGGAAACGAGGCAAGGGTAGCGGTATCGATACATTCTCCTCTTCTGACTTCCGCCCCGCTCACCCAACCCAACGACGCGTCGTACTTTTCCAGACCTTCGTTGTCCTGGTTCTTCAGCACGGGGTCCCTAGAACTCTGGACCCACTTCCCAGGGACCAGTCTTTCGCCCTGGATCGCCTCCTGACGGCCCCGTGGCCCTGCGAAGAGCCCGCTGATGGCGACGACGACGAAACACCTCTGCCTCGATGCTTCAACACGTTGGAGGTCTGGGTTCGTCTCTCGCTGATTTTGAAGGGGCCCTGGAACACACACACACACACACACACACACACACACACACACACACACACACACACACACACACACACACACACACACACACGCACACACACATATCTATATATATATATATGTATACACACATGAATACACATAAAAACACACGAATAACAGGATTCCCCAGGTGTTCTCATATTTTCTGGGGAATCGACGATTGCTTGTGTCTGTGTGTTTCTTTCCCTCCTGAGATTTGGACGCCCGAAAGAGGTACAGAAAAAATGGGTACGATGCCGAAGAACACATGTTGTCCCAAACCGACAGCGGCCGCTGTTGGGCAGGCAGCCGTCTGTCTCGAATGGACCACGTCCGCGGCGGCGCCAGCAGCGAGCCCTGTCCGAAATGGACGGGAAACGCCGTCGGTCTTGGTGCCCACTCTCTCCCCAGACCCCCGACGTCGTGATTTTTTCATGACGTCGACCCCCCGAGGTCTCGACCCCTTCCCCGGGACCGGCTTTTCGTCCGGAGCCGTTTTTGGACGGCTCCGAGGGCCGGGAAGGGCACCCCAAGGCCAAAGATAGCGAAAAACCTCCCGTCGCGATTTCCTCAGACCTCGAGGGGGTCCGGGCCCCTCTCCCTCGCCCCTCGCTGATGGGGAAGCCCGCGTCTGCTCTGCCCGCGCCGGCCGTGCCGCGCGTCGCGCCGAGGCCGCGCCGCGGCGCGCGCCGCGCGCGCCGTGCGCCCGCGGGGCCTCCGAGGCCCCGCGCAGCTCCCGCAGCTCGCCCCGCAGCGCCTCGCCCTGGGCCTCCCGCGCCGCGCGCTCCTCCGGCGCCGAGGCGCGCCCGCGCTGGCCGAGCGCGCCCCCGATGGATCTTCACCCCGGAGCCCCGGAGCCCCTCGAGTTCTGAAAAAAACACGACGGGAGGCTTTTCGCTATTTTCGCCCTGTGGGGGTCCTTACCGGGCCTCGGGGCCGTCAAAAAACGACTCCGGACGAAAAGCCGGTCCCGGGGAAGGGGTCCAGACCGCTGGGGGTCGTCGTTGTGAAAAAATCACGACGTCGGGGGTCTGGGACCGCTCCAGGGGGAAAATCCATCTGGACCCCCCCCCCAGCGCAAGACGGCTCTCTCAGGGATGGGGGGGGTGCCCCCGAGCCCCCCAAATGGCCGTCTTCCACGCGAGATCTCTCGTTGGGGAAGTTGGCTTTCGCGGCTGGGCCCTCCCGCTCAGCCGGGAGGTCGTGGATTCTTCGGCGACCGCCGGGGCCCAAAAGGCCTCCAAGACG